TCAACACAAGTGTGGCTTAAATTGTTAATATATATGTATTAAAGTGCTTAGGGTGGTGTAGTCACTATATCCAAATGTATCTTACCCATCTCGCAACCTACATTATAGCCAAAATAAAGTCCTACTTGATCTTTGATTGAATGAGCTTAATTAGTAGAGTATTACACTATGGACAAGCCTATGGTACGTCTTCCGTGGCATAAGAATTTTAGTTCTGAGAGTGAGTGAATTATTTTTATCTTGAGTTCCTAATTGTTCTTGAACTTTATTATATGTGGAACTACTATCTATTGTTTGTGTAAGCGCACATGATTTGCGAAGGTAAGATAAAGTCTTTGACCTTTGTGTTAGAGTAAGTGAGCAGGTTATGAAAAATGAGTTGTGATTTTGAGTCAAGTCTTGAGGCTAGAATGTTATGATATGGTGCTTAATCTATTTTAAATATTCTTGGCATGATAGGTTACAAAAGTTATTTGATGAAAATGTCGTCTCTATGTGAACTGTAGTTGATTGCTCAGGGCGAGCAATGGTTTAAGTGTGAGATGTTGATGGTAGGCTAGGAGCTCGTGTTTTAGCTACATTTTGCACTCTAATTACTACACTTTGATTGTATTTGAGCCTAAATGTTAGTACTTTGTACTTATTACGCGTGTTATGTTGTGTATGATGTGATTTCAAGTAAAAAAGCAAGTTTGAAGCTAAAATGGATGATTTGGAGCTTTGATGTCTGAGTAGAAGCCCAAAAGATTAAGTCGGGATCACGTTCGGGAGTCGAGGACCAAGTCTGGATGTCAAAAAGTGAGAAAATTACACTACCGCGGCCCGCAATGCGTCACGGGGGCGCAAGGGCGCTAGTCCAAAATTTCTGTAGAGTGAAAAAAATAGGCTTTTGAACTTTCTCACTAATGCGGCGCATGGTGCGCTGCCCGAGGCGTTGCGGTAATGTATTTTCTTGCCCAACTTTTTCCACTTCGGTTTGGAAAGGATAGTTTCATCCGGGTTCGTTCCTACATAGTATAAATACATCAAAAAGACGAATTTCGGAGGACTTTTGGAAGCTTTTGGAGAGTATTGGAGGCTACAAGGCACAAGATTTCATCATCTTTCCATCAGTTCAATACGGGAGTTTGAATTGTAACGTTAGATTGATATTTTTTTACTCTTTAATTATATTTGTGATGACTTCCTCCATGATTATGGAGTAGTTTCCCTTAGGGTTTAACAGATATAGTGTTTTGATTGATATTTGTGGATTTTAACTCTAGTTCTTTGCTTGAATTCGTTTATGGAGCTTTGAATTGTTTACAACTTTATTCACTAGTTTATTTATTCGAAAATGGAATATTGTGGTGACTGTTGTGGATTATTTTGTTTGGTTTAATTCAGTAATTCTCTTAAGTAATTGAAAGAGCTTGTTGAATTGTTGATTAAATCAAGTTAGGAGAATATTCGAGAGACGTTTTTCTGAAGACTATTCCATTGACGCTTGCTTGCATATTTTTACAGTGTTTATATTAGTTCACCACGTAGAGTTAAGATTTAATCGAGAGAGGAGTCTTGAATATACGTTTGAACTAATCATCGAGTGAATTCGTGAGAATCATTAGAACATTAGAGTGAATTGAACTAGAGTTGGATCCCAAATAGCTATCTTGCACCTATCCTGTCACGACCCTTATTTCTTCCATTGATATTTCAGTGTTGCTCAACTCTAGTTTTCTAGTGATCAATAGTTAATTGTTTTAGTTTCATAATTAATTTTAGTTATTAATCATCCCAACCAACGTGTTAATCATCCTGAATAGCGTTAAGCTAGAAATTACATGAACATTATTTAAATTCAATCCTTGTGGAGACGATAATCATAACTATATTATCTTTGGGCATCGAACATTAATTTCTTGTTGTGTTTGCGCTCGTCACTACATAACTTCCAGTTTTCCATTTAGTTCTGCCCTTATTATTTCCTACCAACTGATAAAATGTCTCTCCTCTTCTCATTCTATCCCCTAATCAGCAAAGAATAATCTGTAAAGGATCCAACACATCCGCAGGGACGTGGTCTTTAACAATCTAAGACTTGTTTTGTTTTTCTTAAGATTCTTTCTCACGTTGATCAAAGAGTTACTGATAATCAGTTGCCATTAGTTTTTCCTGCTGGATATGGTTTTCATGTTTTTGACATGGAGTAATGGAAAAATCAGTTGCCAAATGCATCTTTCGTTTTAGCACAGCAGTGTCGAATCAGATTTTTACAATGATATACCTCTACAGTTTAAACATAATCGAGCAGAAGGAGTACTCAGAATTCGTACATCCTATACCTACTAATTTATGATAAAGGCATAGATTGATATACAACTGAATGGAGAACCTCTCGTTCTCAGTAAGGAATGCTTTACCTCGCTTAGTGAGCCTAATAGGCACGAATCTAGATTAGTCCAGTGGGCTCCAATACCAGATGCTTAAAGTCTGGAGCGAAGAAAAAAAGAGGGCAAAATACAAAATTGGCCATTTAGCAGAACTAATTGCAAAGTATATTAAATATGTATATAATACACATAAGTATGCATTTTGCTGGCTATTATATTTAGAAGTAGCTAAAAATATACATTTCTAAAGAAAAAACTGATATACAACTACAACTTTCTACAATAAAAAGCATTCAGACATGTGTTCATATAGGAGAATATCTTCTATCAGTGTCTATTTTCTTCTGTTTCCAGAAACAATTCCTGGGACGAAGGGAAGCTGAAATGCATCTTCTATATTTAGCAACAATAAATAAATAAAAAAGCAGCCCGGCATCCCGCATTCATGCAGGGTTGGTATAAAATTTCCACAAATGCTACACGAGAACAATTCGATAACACATTTAAATGTTTAAAAGGAAAATAGCACATTGAAAAGTTCCCCCCTCTCAGACCCTCAAAATCTCCAATTTATATCGGATGCTCGTGTAAACTCAGAGGATCTAAGGAAGACAGAAACCGAGTTGACATTCAAGCATTCAAGCATCCGAGTTGACAGAAACAAGTTCACTAGAATTTAAGTAACAGAAGTAATCTCCCTTTCTCCAAACAGATTCAGGAACAACTTTGACTAAAATAAAGAAAGTAATCATCCGAAGACAAACACAACCTTTAGTCGCAAATAATTAAGCGAGCTCTAAAATATGAAGGAAGATTAAGGAATGGCATTGAATTATTGTATTTATAAAGTCATGTTTGTTAGACATGGTATAGTGAGGGAAGAGCAACTTTTAATTTGTTGGCTACTGTTAGAAATGATACTAACATGAACCAAGACAATATCTTTACAGATAACTGTGTTAGTATTCAAGGAAAGATATATAGCAAAATTTTTATTGGGATGTTTCCCACAAGCTTCTAAAACCACATAAGTTGCATGCTACAGATAAGAAAACAACTTCCCAACGTTTTTTTTTGATGAAGTAGATTCATTGCCGGCATCAAGAAGATGCAAAGTGTACAAAAGAGGTGTTGTTAGCTTCATTAAACTTGTCTGTGCTATAGCAGGAAGCTAACAAGTTACAAAAATAAGAGACTAAGCTAATCTATTTAGAATGTTAGCTCTAGATGACAAAAGAACTAGTCTATGTGCATGGAACTAACAGATAAGCCAGTTGCGTATTTCATTTTTAGCATAACAATCATGTATTATATTTTTACAAGAGCAGAATCAGTACCCAGATTTCATACATCCTACCACAACAAATTTGTGATAAGGGTTAGTTAGTTGATTGATTGATATATGCAACTGAACGGAGAATCTCTTTGTAGGGAATGCTTTACCTCGCTTGGTGAGCCTAACAAGAGGAAATCCAGATTAGTTGGGCCAGTGGACTCCACTGTTGGCTGCCTAAAGCGAAAGAAAAAAGAATAACTGATATACAACTGCAGTCTCCTACAATGTTGATATTATATTATCTCTGTGGTTGCTGCTGTTGGTAAGGATCTATTCTCTCTGTTCGCCTTTTGAGCTGAGGGTCTCCCAGAAATAGCCTCTCTACTCCTTCGGGATAGGGGTAAGGTCTGCGTACACTCTAACCTCCCCGCCCACTTGGTGGGATTTTACTGAGTTATTGTTGTTGTTGTTGATATACAACTGCAACTTGCTACAATAATAAGCAGTCAGACATGGGCAATATAGGATAATATCTTCTACCATTGTCTATTTTATTCTGTTTCTAGAAACAATTTCTGGGGGAAAGGAAAGCTGAAATGCAGCTTTCGTTTCAACAATAACTGTCCGGTATAAAATTCTCACAAATGCTATCACAAGAACAATTCGATAACACATTTAAATGATTAAAAATAAAATAGCACATTGGAAAGTTTCCCACCTCTCAGACCCTCCATATCTCTATCTAAGGAAGACAATAGCTAAAGTTATCATTCAAGCATGTAACCGAGTTGATAGAAACACTAGAATTTATGTAACTGAAGTAATCTCTCTTTCTCAAAACAGAATTAGGAACAATTTTGACCAACATAAAGAAAGTTGCAAATAATTAACCAAGCTTTAGAACTGGAAGGAAGATTTCGGAATGACATTGAATTATTGTATTCATAAAATCACATTTGTTATATGTGGTATAGTGATCCCAATATGAGGGGAGAGCAATTATAAATTTGTTGGCTACTGTTAGCAATTACAAGAAGGTAACAGTTTCATAGGACCATGGAACTATCAACAACATACACCGAGCTGGGATCTGTGCGATTTAGGTATTGCAATCTCTAACAGCTGCAGCAAACTTTTGTCACTCTCCACAAGCAGCTAAGTGTGACACAGAATGCATCCACAGTTTGGTTTATGGTAAACCTTGATTTTCTCTTTCCAAAATGATTGTAGAATACTCGTATCAGGGGCTTTGCTTCTAGAAACCGTGTTTCACAAAGCGTAACGTATCCTCACTGGGATAGATAATGCAATGGCCAAAAGTATGAGGTTAAAACTTCCTACTGTATAAAAAATAACAAAAGCCAATCCCTCTAGCTAGCGAGGCTGTAAATATTTCCAACCACTCCAACAATGCTAACTACAACGGCCAATACTAACATGAACCAAGACAATATCTTTTCCTTGTGACTCAAACCAATCCCTTCTTTGCTCAACCTTAGAGCAATGAGAGATGGGAATGTAAAACCTAAAGAGACTGCTGTTGTCGCCCCTGTAAATTTGAAAGCAGTCCAAATATTAGGAATCATAGTTGATCCAAGATATATGAGTGCCAAAAGAACCACAGTCAAAGCCAGACACCTCTTCCTACTTTCTGTGAGCGGTACTGATCCTTTAAATAACAAGGCATCCACTGTCTGCCTAAGCGAGAAATGAATAACAGGGAAAACAAGAACTAGATGAAAAACATAGCCAACACGGACTATGTAATTTAAAGGCGTGCTGAAACGAATTCCAAGGTCTTTATCAAAGTTAGTGAGCACATCAGATTCAGTATCCTTCCCGAAAAGTAAATAACCAGCTATTGCAGTAGAAGCATACACCAAAACACAGATAGCACTGGTAATCCGCCCAACCAGATTCATTTTCTGAGGTGATCGCCCTTCAAGCTCATTATAAATAGGCTGAACATTGAAATGACAAACATAAGCATTCGACATGATAGGTATCACCACAAGCAGGTCTAGGATTGCCTTCTTAGACCCAAAATCCGGGGTCATTCTCGGAGCTTCAATCTTCCCTTCAACCAGCTTAATAAATGCTATGGTGAAAGCAACCAACACAAATACAACCGCGAGAGCTACAGAAGCACCCGAAGTCAAGCTCAACGAATCGATCTTATCCAAAGCACAAAGGGGTGCAAGAAAAATCACCAACATAACCAAAATCACCAACTTCCTATGATCCCACACTCCATGACCTAACCATTGATCAAAAACACCAATATGACGAAGCGAACCGGACAAAACATCCCCTATTATAATCAAATACACAACCAAAACACCAGCATTGTTAACAATAATGCAAATCTCAGATATAACCTTAGCTGTTTTCCCCAATGCAGCCTGAACAACCTCCCCATACGACGACGCCTTGCAATGAACAGTAAACCGGACAAGCAATTCAACACTGATCTCAGACAAAATAGCCATCAAGAATATTAAGACAAACCCAAGAACCAAACCCAATACTTTCATTGTGGCAGGCAATGCCATAATCCCAGCACCAATGATAGTAGTTGTAAGATTAAAAACAGCACCATATATCCCAGACCCAGATTTCTTTTCACCAAAAATAAGGGGTAAATTATCAAAATCAATATCATTAGCATCAAGATCATCCTCAATGTTTGATTTTGAATACCCATCTTTAATAAAGTTATCATCTTTTAATTCTAACTCAACAAAAGATGAATTCTTGGAAAGTGATGTATAATTACTATCCATATTCTTGTAATAATATATTCAGAAATTATAAATTATACGCATGGAGGTAAAGATAAAATAAAAAGAAATAGTAGTAAAGAAAAACTCACAGAGAAGTAATGCAAACTACTTGGAGATGTGGGTTTTGGGATTAAATGAGTTTCAGTTTTGCGTTTGGAATTAGAGGAAGGAGGAACCCTAGATCTTGGGGTTCTCTCCTAATGCAGTTTAATTATTTTTATGCTTTATAACTTGTAAGATGGAACAAGAAAACGTCAGAGGAATTGTAGGAAGAGCATTCAGATTTGAAGTTCCCCATTGGCTCATTGAACTTACAACTTTGCACCATAGTATTTCTATTCCGAAGCAGGACATATTATCTGTTTTTAGATTATAATAAAAAGGACAGCCCGGTCCCGTTATGTTTACGTACGGGAAAAGGCCGAACCTATGCTTTATAACTTGTAAGATATATTTCCTGTTATTATTGATTTAATAATTTAAACACTCCATGCAAATAAGTTTTTGCTCGTGAGATACTCCATGCAAATAAGTTTAACAATTTTAGACTTTTATATCTGAAGAGAAAAAAATCCGAAACAAAAAAATATGTAATTTTACACTACCTGTACATTTACCAGATGTCATGGGAGATTTTACCTTATTTTACAGGTTGCTTATACCATTTATTGTGGACAAATTACCCATAGTTATCCTAAAGATGACTTGATAGAATAATTTTTTTTAAGAGTTAAAAGCTTATCTACATTTCTTTCATAGCATAACGCAACCACAAAAGAGAGCTTGGCATGTAATACTATGAAAAGACTAACTTACATGCCAATACCAATACAATAACTTTATGTACAATATATCAGGGCCGTACGCATGATCTTTTGCAAGGGATGCTGATATTTATAGAAGAGTAGAGAATAAATAATATTAATTATCATATCATTCAACAAGAAATATATCACGCCCCAAACCTGAAGAGGCATGGCTGACACCCGATGCCATATTCGACCCGACCGTACCACTCTGTAACTATGAACTCTGGAGGGGTAACCCTCAACTTAGGCCGATGAGGCCATATTCTTAATCATCTGAAAATATCATCTCTCTCATATGAGGGGTAAACATACCCAAAAGCTTATATATATATAGTAGGCTCGTTCAAAAGCGCTCGACCATACTAGACTCTGTATCTCGGCCATTCTGGACTCGCTCATAGGCGCCCGGTCATAATAGGATCGGTATATAACTTACCATCTGATCAGAGGTTGTCCAATATGGGCCTGCCCANTGAGACTAGGATAATGTACATAAGTTCAAGAATATGAACTTCTCTTTATGTCTCATTATCAAACACATGTAGTTAGGGGATCATGCCAAAATGAAGGAAAGGTTGAGCCTTAACATACCTAATCACAATCTGTCCAATAACCACGTTGAACTCGTCTCGTTGCACCTTAACCTACAACAATGATAATAATACTATCACCAAGTTATGGAAGGTACAACTATCGCATAACGAACACAAACTTATTTCATAATAAAATGGGCAACATCTCCCTTATAATCTTTACTACCTCCCAATTTGACATAACACCAACACCAACAAGAACAAAATAATAACAATATATATACATCATTTTCCAACCTTATATCCATCACAAAATACCACAAAACAGCCCACACACCCTAATAAGTTCATACACAAAACGACAACCCTAGTAGTGTCAAACAACCCAAAAATATAATGACGAACGACCAGCTAACGATCCTGCCATTATGTGGTGTTTATCCACACCCTTTCTCCTCCCAAACTCCATAAAAACAGTAGCAAAAGAGACAACCCAACAACAATACAAAACAACCCACAAAATAGTCCCACAAGTTCAACAACTTAAAACTATTTTTTTAGTTTGCTAAAATATTTTTCGACTTGTCTTTTCTTTCAAATTGAGCATCACAACCAACAATATATAATTAAGCCTATTATACTATAAATCAACCATGAATTCAATTTAAAAATAAGTTTACAACTAGCCAACAGTGACGCAACAATAAACATCATACCACTCTTTTGAAACTCGCTAGGTCTAGTCTTTACGATCGAGTTACAACTCGTACAAGCATAGATAATAGAAGGAAAAGTATCAATTTACCTTGGACTTAGTATAAACCATGGAACCTATTCCTTATTCATCCAAAATCAGTCTCCCAACGTAGCTACAAGAAGGAGAAAGAGAAACTAGCAAGCTGTCCGGGGTTTTCGCCACTAGAATTACATTGTATCACCTGAAATTACCTTGGGTTTGTGTGGGATTTTTGGGGAGGGGTTGCAGGGGTTAAATCTGATTTTGTTGGTCTAATATTGAGTGAAAGAAATGAGTTAATAAGTCCTTAAAAGTCCCCTCTTGGCCGACTTTAGGAGCTTTTAATTGAGGCCTCTCCTTTTGGCAAGTAGGTGATGCACCTACTTGTCACCTACCAATCTGTGCAGTCTCGCGAAAACGCAAATATCTCTCTACTCCAATGTTATATCAATAAACGATTTAATCCATTAGAATCTAGACTCTTAGATCTTCAATTTGGTAGGTAGATCATCCCGTAATTTTAAGTACATTGGGAGAAATAGTCAACTATTTGACCTAAATTTTAGCATATTTATGAATGTAACTTGTGATGATCTTTGCTAACTTTTGTTCCACAACTCGCTTGACTTCAAAACATAACACACGACTATTGTAAGACTAAAATAACTCATAACACCTCCTTATCATTTGAGCACCCTAGTCTAACCCCAAAAGTACATGTTATAACATTCCCAGCTTATCAACTTTTGACGAAACTTATTTTCTTCAATTTGTTTAGCTTTTAAGCCTCCAATCCTCTTGGTACTTGCAGTTTATGATACTAAATATTTGTAACCTCCAAGTTAACATGGTTAAATTACTTTATTTACTTTCAAAGATGATCTCATTTCTGAGCTTACATCAATTGACTTACGACGTACTTTCACGTATGAAAATATGGGGTGTAATATCATTCTCCCCTTTAGAACATTCATCCTCGAATGTTGACTGATGTTATTATTAGTCTCATAACTTATAAATTTTATGAATACCTTAATACTCTCCTTGTCCTTTAAGTAACTGTTCTCTGAATAAATTCAAAGGCTAGGGCATTCCCCTCTTTAGGCCTTTTTCTCACACCACGACATGTGGTTGGAATTCTTCCAATATCGTAACTGTTTCTACCTTCTGTCATGTAGCCCTTATGACTCTGTCCTTCTACGCGTGCCTATGCGACTCTTCTGTCCTATTTTCTCCTGCTTTTAGCCAATCTCTAGGCCTCACTTTGTGAACATATGCAGAACTATGACGAGCTATCCCTATGGGCATCTATAGGTGTACTGAAGTTCTTCGCTCGGTACTTTGTCGAACGTGCGACTATTGCTATATCTTGTTTCATAGCCTCGGTTATCCATGCTTATTGCTTTACTACATCTAGGTAGGCCATACTATATCATAATACTTACTTCTATTTTTATTCTTACCTAGGTCTGCTACCAACTCCAGGTTACTCTCTTGCTGCTTATCCTATATGTATAAATCCAAGTCATTTAATGTTTCCTTATTACTATTCATCTAAAGAATGACATCCTAATCTCCTCTCATACTTTGGAACTTTGATCCATTTATTGTTGATTCACCTTTATGTTGATCTGTAATCTATAATTGATAACTTGAAATCTCTTACGTAATACATTGTCGTTAGGGCTCACGTCTCATCGGGGAAAATCTAAAGTTATTTGCCTGATTTACCTAGGGACAATACTATACTTAAATAACCGTATTTCATAGAATCCCAACGTGATTCATCTTAAGGAGGTATTTTAATCCTATGCAATTCATGAAATCCCTTCTCTTGAATCATTACTTAATCGAAGGCCTAAATGTCGCCCTTTTATAATTTATCACAATTACACCATTATTCTATTATCAGGGAAGCATTCCATTTCCTTCGAGTTCATTCAGGCTATACAAAGCTTTTTATAACTTACAAAAACCACCAGTTCTCTTGTTTTGATGGGTTTAATCCCGAGAACTTACCTATTCTCGTCACCTTTTCACTTACCTTGTTGTATCCTTACTCCTGTCTACCTAAAACCTTGTCGTTCTACCATACTTTAGCTTGCGACCTTTACATATCTATTTATACTACTCGCAAACTTTCTTTAACTTGCTAGCACCATAGATTTCCTTATATTATTCTGGAATCTCAAGCGAGACATCACGTCGTCTTTAACTCTTCTTTACTCTCTTAACTAGACCTCACGGTACATGAAAAACATAGGGTGGAAGATATGCTACTAATAACACCAGTATTATTTCTGGATACTGAATCACAGCGCTTCTAGCACTCTACATGAAGTATGGACTATTCACAATTTTCTGCACCTGAGTATCTCGTATCTTCTTCACGTTTACCTTACTTACCTTTGTCTCTTTCATAACCTCCCTCCCACCTAGGTAGGATTAACATCTACAACTTGAAGCTCTGCTATAATACTTGCACTTTTAGTGCATAAACATTCCAGCGGGAGCTTTATACTGACTTCTGATGAGACTGATACTCTTTTAACTGGCTTTATCATAGAGCCATTATAGAATATGGCCGTTGTACTATCTCTATTGTACCTCTAATATTAAGAGTGATTCATCAATGTTCTGAATCACGATTTCTATAATCATCTGGATCTAATAATCCGACTCTTGATTTACTTAGCTGATGTAACTTTTTAGTTTTCTCTTCTCTCTCATCCTTTAAGTAGGCTTAAGCTATCTTCTGATCTGTGGCTCAGGGTATTTGTTATTACTTTAGCCTTTCATGGACGCTATGGAACATTCATGATATAATATTCTAACAAAGCCTTTGTCTGTGACATGGACTCAATTATTTCTTTTAACTTATACCGGAGTCTCCTATAACTGTAACAATGTTAACATATATGCTGAATGAATAATACAATAAAATCTTAAGTGCGGTCATAAAGTAACTAACTCTGGGTCATATATTGAATAATTCCTTTCGTGCCTTCTCAG